TCATATTAGTAAAAATGAAATAAGGATATTTTACCCTTACCCCATAAAAACCTAGTTTATTTTGCAAGCATCTTTAGAGAGAATGAAATAGAATAGTCTCAAATAATTTCCCAACTTTTCCTCTAGCTGCCCTGCTCCTGACATAATCATGACATCTTTGAGAATACCTATTTTAAATTGCTCTGTGGTATAATATCCTTCAACTTTAGCAGTTCTTCATGAGCTATCATCATGAATTGGTCTGAAAGTTGTCTAACTTAAATAACGTCCTTGAATTGTAATTTCTGAATAGAAAGATCCTCTCAAAAAGATTACGTATTGCATTGAGATGTCTTGCAAAGTTACAGTAAGGTATGTAAGAGTGCTCTCTGTGAAGATAGTGAAGTTTGTGGGTTCTGGTTTTTTTTGTAATTTGGTTAGGTTGTGCAGTATATCCATTGTTTCTGTGTTACTCTTAAGAGCATGAAATTAGCCTATTAAATTTGTATTTTCTTGGTACTTATTTTAACACCATAGTCATTGACTTTACAATTCAAAAATAAAGTTTGGCAAGACTATTTTGTAAACCTGTTAATTTTATAATGTAAAAAAAAATTACTCTAACCTTGAATTGTTATTTGCACTTTCATAGTCTATACTTGATACATTCCCACTTTATATACAAGTAGGATACTACAACCATGTAGATGTTTGGCCAAATGAATGCTGTTAATAATATGTAAAATTCTTTGATTAAACATTTATTACTTAAACTAATTCTGTTCTGTCTCATTACATCTTAGACTTACAGTAACAGATTGTTAAGACTGACGACAGACAATTTTAGGATCTGTTCAGTCCTGTGCCAGATTGGCTGGGGACCCTTATCGTAAGTTGAATGTTTTGATTTGTAAATATAAGGTACCTATATTCATTAAGCTTTGAAAACAAAATCTAAAATAGACCATTTTGGTTTAATTGCTACAGCCATATTGTGCCCTTGTTTTTTGGAGAGAGAAATGCCTTGTCATTACAAATAGTGGTGCTAAAGAGAGTGGGGGGGACTAATGTTCTAGGAAGATCCTGTTAATTAGTGTTACTTAAGTGCCACTTAATATCCAGTCTCCATTGTTACCAGGAAATTTCAGACTGCCTCCATTATGGTAAGAGGCACTAAACTATTCTGTTTATTGTTACAGTAATTCAAGTAGATTCCTCCAGCGAGCATGCCAAGATGCTGGAATCTAATGTAGATGGTTGGATTAGTCACTGCAAGGCACTTGCCATCATCACCTGCTGCTGTGGCTTCACTGCATACGCTGCAGTTACTGAGTGCGGAGTTTTACTACATTTTACAACCCACAGCCCAGTTTCAGAGATCTGTTGATCAAGGCCAGTGTCACTATTACCTTCTCCTCCTTCTCTTCCCCTCTCCCAGCACACCCAAAGCCTCCCACTGTAATACACACAGAGCCTGGTAAGAATGGAAGCCAAACATGGATATAATGATAGCTAGTTTCTTAACTAAAAAATTGTTTAGACAGTCTACTCAGAATGAGACAATCTGCTGATTATTGTCCTCTTCTGTAGATAAGCCAGATGTGGAAACTTGAAAGATGTAGAAAAGTCAGTGATGATTCAAAACTTAGTGTAATTTTTACCATCTCATCCTTTTAACTAAAGACTAAAGCACTAGATGGGCATCAAAAGGAGGAGATGGATCCCATGTAAATACTCCATAAAACTGTGTTTGCTGCCAGTCTTTGTATGAGAGTAAATAAATGAATGAAGCCTTGTATTTATGCAAGAATATGCTTTCATTCCACTTAAAAAATAGGCTAGTGTAGAATTTATACTGTTCTCCAAATACATAAACATAAACCAATGTAAGTAGTTCATTAAAATCGCTAAAAATAGAATAATGAATTAAAGAAAAAATGTTTCCTATCCCTTTTTTCCTTAACTCTTCATAGATACTTATGGTTGTATTTCACAAAAAAAAGTATGTTAAAGCTAATTGTTAACAGGATGGTGTTATTTTAAAATTATGCAGGTCTTGATCTTTACAGAAATCCTTTCTGCAGTGAAATACAAACTTGAGAAGCTATTTTGCATGTGTTTTTTCTTTTTTGGTCATTTGCATGAATATCCAAATAAATGAGCAAGAAAATATTTCATATATCGAGAGAGATGTTCAGTATTGCAAATATATAATAGTGCTGTTTTCATACATGTCAGGCCCACCACATGATACTGGAAAAAATATAGAGGATTTTGTCTTGGGGGTTTTTACATTAGATTTGGTCTCTATTGAAGAATGATCTACCTTTACATAACAGGTTTTAAGGGGTATTTATCAGTTTATGAACCCAGGTGTTTTTCTGTGAGCAGCAGTGAACATTAACTATTCAAGTTATTCATCAGTTCTATTTTGGCCACTGCACGTTCTGCTCTAATTATCAGATCAATTTTATTTATAATAATATATTTGGAAAAAGCACTCAGGCACTAGTATTTTTACTCTGCAAATGCTGCAGTCAGTGTTGCTGTCCACATTTTTTAGCATGGCAGGCTGTGTAGCCAGCATCATCACCTTTAGGGATGCCAAAGAAACAGTCATGTCATATTAATTAGCTGGCCAAGATTCACTAATGCAGATGCCAGGAATACTAGAGTTTATGTGTGTTATAGCAGAAACCTTTACATTCTGCAATAAGAAAAAAAAAAATAAAAAATCTTACTTTGAAATTGGTAGTCTTCATTTTCGGTTCAGGCATCATGTCTGAGGCCCTCCCTCTGACTGTCGTGTCTCTATGTATAATACAGCAACAGGCACCCACTTAAAATTCCAGTTCTGGTATTTTGCAGCATATACAGACAGTGTTATCCAGCACAGCAGTCTGGATTCTGCTTGGCTGCAATTCAGCCATGCAACTCCATTCTCTGAGTTTAATTCTGTTCTGGAAGGCAGAAGAAATTGGTAAACTCTTTTGTGGTCTAAGTGAAAAACACATTCAATCTACTTGTACAAAGTGAGCACAACATACATGGCACAGAAAGAAACATTAGGGTGTAGACCTTTATGGTGGTTATAATGTTTATTCATATTTTTGAAATTTAAGTGTAAACCAGTAATAAACTGGCAATGGTAATTAACCAAGGTTCGTTTGCACTTAGTATGAAATCTTACAAAACTGGCTGATCTCCTTTATATATTTTTACAATAAAATAAACCCTTTGTGATTAACAAGGTGATTTATATGTGCAGAGGGAATGTCTGTGCCTTTAGGAGTCAGTGTTGACTTGCATCTGTCATACTGGCTTATAATGGAGACATGAAAACATTCTGTAACAAAAAACTTACATAAAGAAAGTGAACTGCTCTAGTCACAGTTAAAATCAGTACATTTGTCACTAATGCAAAGAGAGATAATAATAGAATAATAGAATCATTCATTGGTTTGGCATTGGAAGCAACCTTAAAGATCATCTAGTTCCAACACCCCCACGTGGGCAGGGACACCTCAAAGCTCCATCCAGCCTGGCCTTTACCACCTCCAAGGATGGGGCTTCCACAGCTTCCCTGGGCAAGCTGTGCCAGTGTCTCACCACCCTCACACTACAGAATTTCCTCCTAATGTCTAACCTAAACCTCCCCTCTTCAGGTTTAAAGCCATTACCCCTCATCCTCTGACTAAAAGCCCTTGTAAAAAGTTGCTCCCCAGCTTTCCTGTAGGCCCTTCAGGTACTGGAAGGCCAGTATAATGTCTCTGTGGGGCTTCTCTTCTCCAGGCTGAACAACCCCAACTCTCTCAGCCTGTCTTTGTAGGTTCTACAGTCTTCTCTGATCATCTTTGTGGCCCTCCTCTGGGCTCAATCCAACAGCTCCATGTCTTTCCTGTGTTGGGGACTACAGAACTGGACACGGTACTCCAGGTGGAGTCTTGTGAGTGCAGAGCAGAGGGGCAGAATCACCTCCCTTGACCTGCTGGCCTTGTTTATTTTGATGCAACCCAGGACATGGTTGGCTTTCTGGGCTGCAAGCATGCATTGCCAGCCCATGTTGAGCTTTTCATCAACCAACACCCCCAGGCCCTTCTGCTCTGGGCTGTTATCGGTCCATTCTCTGCCCAGCCTGTGTTTGTGCTTGGGATTGCCCAAACCCAGGTGGAGGACCTTGCACTTGGCCTTATTGAACTTCATGAGGTTGGCATGGGCCGATGTCTCAGGTCTGTCACAGTCCCTCTGAATGGCATCCCTTCCCTCCAGTGTGTTAATCACAACACTCAGCTTGGTGTCGTCAATAAACTTGATGAGTGTGCACTAAATCCCACTGTCCATGTCTCCAACAAAGATTTTTAAAGGATGTTAAATCCCAAAGTCACAAGTAAGGTTGTGCCTAAGGAGCTATGTATTGCATCAGCATCATAAAGACTAAAACACAAGCCTAAAGCATTTCTAGTGGCATGCAGTTTAGCTGGAACAACTAATTCAAATTCTGTTCAAAGACTAATGTTAAAAACTGCTCCAAGCCTTAGATCCTTAAGAACTGTCTCAAACAAAGCAGAAACAGTTACCTGTAAAGATAACCTGTTAAGCAGGAAGCCTGTATTACAAGATCTTAATTTGTGAGAAGATACAATAAGTGAAAAACTATCAAATGTTACAAATAAGTCCTGAGAGGATAAACTGACACAACATGACAAGTGCAGAAATACTGCCTTTTGTTAAAAGGAGTTATTTTTGCTGTTTAGTATCACAGAAGCATTTCAGAGTAGGGTTGACGTAATTTGAGAGACAGCTTTAATATGCTTTAAAAGAAACAAGTACTTGTGGTTATGGTATGTATCTCAGCCATTGCTTGCCCTAACCACTTCACATGAGGCAAAAACCAGACCTCACAAAATCTGGGGTTAGTTCTTGGTTCTGCCACACACTTAAATCAGTAATTAACACTCAGAAGTTGCAAAGATAGATGCTTTCTACTTGCATAAATAAAAATTATGCAACGTGTTTCAAAAATGGCGTCGGTTTTAGCTATGGGAATTAAGAGAATAAAACCTGCTTTTCTCACAGGAGACTTAGTAAGTACAGAACCTCATTACAGGACCATGTGGAAATGTACAGTGCATGAGTCAGATTCATACCAAATTACATGCGTTTACAGCAAAAATATTTCTGGAGAAAAACTCCAGGTGCATCCTCTGCAGCTGACTGTGGAACCAGGGACACAGGAAATTAGAATAAAGGATGCTTCAGATGTGAGCCAACAGACTGTAGGATAGCAGTAGGAGCTAAGAGGAGGCAATGCAGTTAAATCCACTGCAGAACAGTCCAGCTGCTTAAGCAGGAGATGCACAGAGCATGTGGATGTGTATCACTTCCGTAAATAACCAACACCTTGCCTGAAAGCTCCCAAGAAGAAACAATTCCACTCTGCCAGACAGTGTGTCACTAACATTCACACCCCTGCTCCGCAGGAGGAGCCAACGTTTTGTTTTCTCCACTTCTTTGTCCTATTTACATTTGAGTTCCCTCAGAGCAGGGATGTGTTCTGATGGCTCTGAAGAGGTTAGCCATGAGTGCCCCTTCCTTCTACTGAGGCTAAAATAAAGTGAAAATATGCATTAATTGAAAGAAAACAGATGTATTCCTCAGCTTTAGCTGAGTTTACACCATTAAAAATCCCTCAGCAAAAATCAGGCTTTTCCAGTTTCAGTCAGGCTACAGTCCAGTAGTCGCCCTTCAACCCCCCTCATCTTCAGGGAGTCTAGCTCTATCAAGGAACATTATAACACTGTAGAAGATGCTCAAAACTCACGATCGACATGGTCAAACTTAGGATCCTCTGGAGGGGAACCTAGAGATGGATACTTCTGAAAAGTCCTGAGCCCCCATCCCCTGCTACCCATAACCACCAGGTATTCAGCAGCTCTCAGATCAGGGTATTTCAGCTATTGCCTCCATAAAGAGTCAAGTATCAACTAACAAAAAAGTTAACACATACTAATTATATTCGGCATAACTAAAATAAAAGACACGCTGTTTCAAATTTTTTGACAAAACATCCTAACCACTCTTTCTTTCTGTTATCTTTCAGGCTGGGTAGGGAGAGGTCAGGCAGCACTAACAGCAGTCCTTGCCTCTCCATCATGGTAACTAATGACCTTTCACAATGCCAACAGAATAATCATACTAAGAGCCCTGTAATCCCAAGGTGTCATTTACCAAGGTTCCACTGAAATGACAGTTATTTAATAAGCCATGCTTTGTCAAGAAATACTGAATTAAAATTATTTTCTGCCAACATTAAACAATTAAACCCACTGAATTAACTTACCACCTCAAGTTAGGTTTTATAAAGCTTGAGCATTGAATTATTGTTTAAAAGCAGAACAAAAAACCACAGTGGGTAAGTTATCAGAGCAATACAAAGTAACATATATAATTAGAATATACAGATACGTGTAAAACAGATGCATCCTACATTTGTGGCAGAAGAAGATTACTCTGCAGGATTGCTTTGGAAACACCAGAAGGGAAGAAGCTGGGAGTGTGGAAAATGGCAAAAAGACTACAGGAAAAGTGGAGTTGAAAAAACCCAACTATTTCCAAATATACTTGTTACCCATTAACACTGTCACAAGGACAGCAGCACCTGAGCACGTGCCCTCCAGCCGCTGCGTGGGAGTGGAACATCTGCAAACACATCTGCAAATCTGCCTGTCAGTTCTGCAATTGTTGCCATCATTGAATGAAACGGCCTCTGTTTTAGCAGGATCATTTTCCTCTTTGTTAAAAATCTTATTAAAGAAAATTATCTGCTCTTTGTGTCCATTGAGAACAAGACAAATCAACTTAATTTGCACCAGAGGTTTAAAAAAAAACACTAAAGATCGAGGATGACAGCGAAGTATGGGAACTGAGAGGCTGTAAATCCGTGTGAGTGAGCGCTTCTTCCTCGGCATCAGCCCAGGCCGACATCCCAGCGCTGCGGCCTTAACACCGCGCGGGCCGCGGAGCTCCGCTCTGCCCCAGCACCGCCCCGGCACGCAGGGGCCCCGG